TGATCGCCTCATGGTCCTGACAAAGTGTTGTTATTTTTCGGGTCGATCAGAAATCCAATATGGCCGCCACGGCCGCCATTTTGAAAACCTATTTCAAACTTAAAGTCAAGTTCTGCTGGACCGATTGAACTGAAAGTTGGTAGGAATGATCGCCTCATGGTCCTGACAAAGTGTTGTTATTTTTCGGGTCGATCAGAAATCCAATATGGCCGCCACGGCCGCCATTTTGAAAACCTATTTCAAACTTAAAGTCAAGTTCTGCTGGACCGATTGAACTGAAAGTTGGTAGGAATGATCGCCTCATGGTCCTGACAAAGTGTTGTTATTTTTCGGGTCGATCAGAAATCCAATATGGCCGCCACGGCCGCCATTTTGAAAACCTATTTCAAACTTAAAGTCAAGTTCTGCTGGACCGATTGAACTGAAAGTTGGTAGGAATGATCGCCTCATGGTCCTGACAAAGTGTTGTTATTTTTCGGGTCGATCAGAAATCCAATACGGCCGCAAAGGTCGCCATTTTGAAAATACCTATTTCAAACTTAATGTCAAGTTCTGCTGGGGCGATTGAACTGAAAGTTGATAGGAATGATCGACTCATGGTCCTGACAAAGTGTTGTTATTTTTCGGGTCGATCAGAAATCCAATATGGCCACCACAGCCGCCATTTTGAAAAACTATTTCAAACTTAAAAACAAGTTCTAATAGGCCGATCTCACTGAAAATCGGTCTATGAATGATCATTTCATGGTCCTGACAAAGTTAAGTTAACATTATACTTAACTATTTTTTACTCGAATTAGTACATATTTCAACAACAAAAATAAATACTGTAGGACTCAGGTGACCGTTAAGGCCCATGGGCCTCTTGTTATACTTTTAACCATGTGTAGCACCAACCCATACTTAACATATTTCGCCATGATTAATTATGGCACCTGCGATGAAATTCTGCCTAAACAGAATATGTGTCTCTGTGCAACTAAAATGACCTTATATGAGCTGTTAATAAGATAAAATTAACACCATACTGCTTAATGTGAGTAAATGGGAGAAAACTCACTCAAACAAATTTAGTATTTATTTAATTTAACAAAATTGATATGCATTGAAAGTAAACTTTCATGGTAAAAAATACAGTACCGTGTAACGGTAACGCTCGAGTTGTTTCGTTGCAGCATCAAACAATTTGTTGCATTCAGTTAATTCAGCGCCATGCCGGATATCTCACCGTCTTTCCTACTCGAATATTGTAGAGTTCGAGCGCCTGCAAGTCAGCAAATCTTGACAAGCCGGGTTTGTTTACACTGTCGTTGTTTGCCATTTTTTCTCCAGTAAGGCAACGACAATCCGTGCTTCTGATTGGTCAAAAATTGCAGCACAGGTTACTGGATTGTAATATTCACCTGTGAGGCGCCCGACGGGGCTTTAACAAAAGCGAAGGATGCAAGGAATTAATTTGATTTACAAATTAAAAAAAAAATCCATGTCTAATTTCATTTGCTTTGTAAATAAACATAGTTAGATTTCTAATAATAAAATTGTTTTCTGAAGAAACAAGTACAACAAATTTGTCCATATTTGGTCTACAGTAATAAGTTTTTTTTCAAAAATTTTGATCTAATTTCAGAGTATAACGGGCATTCCATAACAAAATGATATTCATCTTCAATTTTAGTACACGCTTTACAATATCGCATTATTGCAGGTATTGGGTTAGGTCTATGCCATCTCCCTGTTTATGGGCAGATATGCGAAGCGCTGTTAAAGATTTTCTAAATTTTTTAACGTTTACTACATCAAGATATTTCTTATAACCAAACTCATTTGATAAACGTATATAACATCTTGCTCTTGGCGAGTCAACAAGAGCACTATGCCAATCCTGTATAAAAATATCCCTCACTCTGGTCTGAAATAATTCTACAAATACGTTTTCATCTCCAGCTCCTTGTTCAATCCATACATATCCGAAACCACAAGTACATAATAAAATGTTCACTAACTTTGCCGAATTTATCACACGTGAAATTTCCGCTTGTGTATAAAGCTCACCATAGACTGACTGGACTAAAACGTTCTTCTGTTTATGAACAATTTTTAACCAATATTTCATAATTTTAACGTATCTTTTAAATTTAAGGGGAAGACAACCTAGTTCTCCATAAACAATAGAAGATTTAACTCCAAGTAACCGCTTACAAAATTTCAAGTGCAGTTTTTCTATCGCCATCGCCGAATAAAAACCCAAAACTTCACATCCGTAACTTAATACAGGACATACTAGTTTATCAAACAAACCATACACATGTTTTGGTGTTAAATTTTTACATTTTTGTAACTGGCCCGATAAAGTTAATTGGGCTTCAGAAAACGACCCACCTGGAGTTAAAGCAACCCCTAAAAATGTAAACTTCTTAACTATCTGCATCTCATCCTAACCTTAAATTTTCTGGTAATCTTCCTCCTTTCCTGAACACCATCACTTTAGATTTTTCCACATTAATTTTCAATTTCCACCGTTTACAATAGTCGTTCAAAATATTCAATCCGTTTTGTAAACCGACACTGGAGCAAGCTATCAGAGTGATATCGTTAGCATACAATAGTATGAATAATTTAAAAAATCCAACTGTTACACCCTCATACCCATTCATAATTAACTCGTGCTCAAGATCATTTACATACATAGCAAACAAAAATGGGGATAAACTTTCACCTTGTTTTACCCCGGTTATGCATTCATACTCTTCTAATATTTAATTTTTAATTTTAACTCTAGCTTTAACAGAATCATACATTGATTTCACAATATCAAGCATCTTACCTCTGATTCCTAATTTAATTAACTTCAACCACAGATTATCTTGTACTAAATAATCGAAAGCTTTCGAAAAATCTACAAAAGTACAGGATAACGTTTTTTTGCTTTTAACAAAACATGAAATTAAACCATGTAAAATAAATATATTATCGACTGTACTATGACCAGCTCTAAAACCGGCCTGTGCATCTACATACACACTATATTTTTCAGCCCATTTTGTTAACCGACTATTTAAAATCTTTGTAAATAGTTTCCCAACTACACTTAATAAAGTAACGCCTCTGTAATTACCGACCTCCGATTTCTTACCTTTCTTATGAATAGGTATTACATAACCTTCTGACCAAAGAGTGGGGAATTCGCCCTTTCTAAAAATAGCATTCAATAAAACATCCGAATGCGGTAATAAAATGTTACGCCCCCGACTCAAAAACTCATTTAACACTTAATCAGGCCCCGCACTTTTCCCGTTTTTAAGCTGTCCTAAAGCTTCATTTATTTCTCCTCTAGTAATATTATCATTGAGCTCATCAAACATTACTTGTAATTCATCATTCAAATATCTGTCAACAAAGTTTACGACATCCTCATCGGGCGTGAAAAAGGGATCATCCGGGTTGTTAATAGAACTGAAAAACTTTGCGAATTGATCAACACTTATATTTAAATTAGAATTCAAGCATGATTCTTTCAGTAACTTCCAATTCTCTTTGGAATTACTGGCTCTATATTTTAATAAATTTGACGTCTTTGCAACGTAATACTTTAAACGACATTTCCTGGCCTCTTTTTTAAACTCGTTCCTCGCCTTTACCATATGAACTCTATTCTCAGCAGAACTGACCCGTCGGTACAAATTCAATTTGTCGAAAAACAATGACCTTATCTCCTCGCATTTCTCACTATACCAAGGGATATTACTCTTCCTTTCATGATTGGTTTTATAATTATTATTAGACCTTTAATGAGTGACTTTTGACATGATTGGGTCAGCTGCTTTACACAGGGCTTCGTTAAATTTCTCTACAGCCTTTTTTAAATTGCCCATTTCTTCGTCAGAATTATCAATTAATGCAGTAATTTGAAGTGATAGTGACTGACATTCATCATTATGTAAATTTTGAATGAAGAGGTCTGACATCTCTGGTTTCCACCTATAATATTTTTGTTGTATAGCGGTAGACCGAGGAGGGCTCACATGTGTTATATTCGTAGATAACGAAAACGAAATTGTCATATGATCACTGTATATGTTTGGCAAACCGACCTCGAAATGAGAAAATAAAGGGAACAGACCTGGTGACGTCAACACATAATCAATTAAACTTTCCCACGCTCGTTCATAAAAGTGAAATTGCCGATTCCAGCATCCTTACCAATCCTGCCATTTTTGACTCACACTTGAGAAGTACGTCATTTTTGACTCCCGCTCGAGGAGAACGTCATTTTTGATTACACTTGAGGAGTACGTCATTTTTTACTCACACTTGAGGAGTACGTCATTTTTGACTCACACTTGAGAAGTACGTCATTTTTGACTCATACTTGAGAAGTACGTCATTTTTGACTCACACTTGAGGAGTACGTCATTTTTGACTCACACTTGAGAAGTACGTCATTTTTGACTCCCGCTCGAGGAGTACGTCATTTTTTATTCACACTTGAGGAGTACGTCATTTTTGACTCTCGCTCGAGTAGTACGTCATTTTTTATTCACACTTGAGGAGTACGTCATTTTTGACTCACACTCGAGGAGTACGTCCGGTTTTTGTGTTGAAAGAGTTCAATAACCAAATGTTAAATCAGTATGTACATTTTTAAGACGATTGCCACTATATGGCACAAGTAGAAGGTCAGACGATTTCAATAATTTGCAATTTGATGTTTGTGAAATAAAATTTATTTCGCAATATACATAAATATACCGGTATGTATGAGTTTTGAATATCATGTCAATATACTATCATGGTTATATCACCCCTGCAATCAGGAAAAGCCTACATAAACCATCTTATTTCTAATAAAATCTCATTAACTGTTATATTTACAATACGAGACTCTCAGTCCTTTCAGGACTTTGACTTTTGTTTGTGTGCACAAAATTCAATAATCATAATTTGTCAAACATTGTTTTACTGGAAATGCATTTGTGATTGGTCTTTTCTATATGTCTTAGGACTGGGAAGATTTTGGCTATCCTCTGTCAACTAGCAGTGACGAGGCATGTAAGTTGTACGATGCAGCGCTATCTCAGGTAAGTGTTATATAACATAAGGGTAGCAGTGTTTGTTTGATCTTCGTTTTTAACATTTGACCCGTACAAATGCGAACAAAATTGACATATACCGTGTGCAATTACTTTGTTGCCACGTTACCATGCTGTCAGTTACTTTGTTGTCACGTTATCATGTTGTCCGTTACTTTGTTGTCACGTTACCATGCTGTCCGTTACTTTGTTGTCCGTTACCATGCTGTCCGTTACTTTGTTGTCACGTTCCCATGCTGTCCGTTACTTTGTTGTCACGTTACGATGCTGTCCGTGACTTTGTTGTCCGTTACCATACTGTCCATTTCTTTGTTGTCACGTTACCATGCTGTCCGTTACTTTGTTGTCACGTTACCATGCTGTCCGTGACTTTGTTGTCCGTTACCATACTGTCCATTACTTTGTTGTCACGTTACCATGCTGTCCATTACTTTGTTGGCCGTTACCATGCTGTCCGTTACTTTGTTGTCAGTTACGATGCTGTCCGTTACTTTGTTGTCCGTTACCATGCTGTCCTTTACTTTGTTGTCCGTTTCCATGCTGTCCGTTCCTTTGTTGTCAGTTACCATGCTGTCCGTTACTTTGTTGTCAGTTACGATGCTGTCCGTTACTTTGTTGTCCGTTACCATGCTGTCAATTACTTTGTTGGCCGTTACCATGCTGTCCGTTCCTTTGTTGTCACGTTACCATGCTGTCCGTTACTTTGTTGTCACGTTATCATGCTGTCCGTTACTTTGTTGTCACATTACCATGCTGTCCGTTACTTTGTTGTCCGTTACCATGCTGTCCGTTACTTTGTTGTCAGTTACCATGCTGTCCGTTACTTTGTTGTCCGTTACCATGCTGTCCGTTACTTTGTTGTCACGTTACCATGCTGTCCGTTACTTTGTTGTCCGTTACCATGCTGTCCATTACTTTGTTGTCACGTTACCATGCTGTCCATTACTTTGTTATCCGTTACCATGCTGTCCATAACATTGTTGTCACATTACCATGCTGTCCGTTACTTTGTTGTCACGTTCCCATGCTGTTCATTACTTTGTTGTCACGTTACCATGCTGTCCGTTACTTTGTTGTCACGTTACCATGCTGTCCATTACTTTGTTGTCACGTTACCATGCTGTCCATTACTTTGTTGTCACGTTACCATGCTGTCCGTTACTTTGTTGTCACGTTACTATGCTGTCCATTACTTTGTTGTCACGCTAACATGCTGTCCGTTACTTTGTTGTCACGTTACTATGCTGTCCATTACTTTGTTGTCACGTTACCATGCTGTCCATTACTTTGTTGTCACGTTACTGTGCTGTTTATTACTTTGTTGTCACGTTACCATGCTGTCCATTACTTTGTTGTCACGTTACCATGCTGTCCATTACTTTGTTGTCACGTTACCATGCTGTCCGTTACTTTGTTTTCACGTTACCATGCTGTCCGTTACTTTGTCGTCCACTAGATGGTGGGATGGTATGAGGATCCGAATTTCGGCGGCCTGATGACCACCATTGACAAGATGTTGGAGGCGGATCCGGAGTTTGGTAACAAAACCAGCACTGTAGAGTTTATACTTTATTGATTGACTAGATACTGACCACGCACTGTAGAGTTTACACTTCATTGGTTGACTAGATACTGAACACGCACTGTAGAGTTTATACATCATTGATTGACTAGATACTGACCACGCACTGTAGAGTTTATACTGTATTGATTGACTAGATACTGACCACGCACTGTAGAGTTTATACTTCATTGATTGACTAGATACTGACCACGCACTGTAGAGTTTATACTTCATTGATTGACTAGATACTGACCACGCACTGTAGAGTTTATACTTCATTGATTGACTAGATACTGACCACGCACTGTAGAGTTTATACTTCATTGATTGACTAGATACTGACCACGCACTGTAGAGTTTATACTTCATTGATTGACTAGATACTGACCACGCACTGTAGAGTTTATACTTCATTGATTGACTAGATACTGACCACGCACTGTAGAGTTTATACTTCATTGATTGACTAGATACTGACCACGCACTGTAGAGTTTATACTTCATTGATTGACTAGATACTGACCACGCACTGTAGAGTTTATACTTCATTGATTGACTAGATACTGACCACGCACTGTAGAGTTTATACTTCATTGATTGACTAGATACTGACCACGCACTGTAGAGTTTATACTTCATTGATTGACTAGATACTGACCACGCACTGTAGAGTTTATACTTCATTGATTGACTAGATACTGACCACGCACTGTAGAGTTTATACTTCATTGATTGACTAGATACTGACCACGCACTGTAGAGTTTATACTTCATTGATTGACTAGATACTGACCACGCACTGTAGAGTTTATACTTCATTGATTGACTAGATACTGACCACGCACTGTAGAGTTTATACTTCATTGATTGACTAGATACTGACCACGCACTGTAGAGTTTATACTTCATTGATTGACTAGATACTGACCACGCACTGTAGAGTTTATACTTCATTGATTGACTAGATACTGACCACGCACTGTAGAGTTTATACTTCATTGATTGACTAGATACTGACCACGCACTGTAGAGTTTATACTTCATTGATTGACTAGATACTGACCACGCACTGTAGAGTTTATACTTCATTGATTGACTAGATACTGACCACGCACTGTAGAGTTTATACTTCATTGATTGACTAGATACTGACCACGCACTGTAGAGTTTATACTTCATTGATTGACTAGATACTGACCACGCACTGTAGAGTTTATACTTCATTGATTGACTAGATACTGACCACGCACTGTAGAGTTTATACTTCATTGATTGACTAGATACTGACCACGCACTGTAGAGTTTATACTTCATTGATTGACTAGATACTGACCACGCACTGTAGAGTTTATACTTCATTGATTGACTAGATACTGACCACGCACTGTAGAGTTTATACTTCATTGATTGACTAGATACTGACCACGCACTGTAGAGTTTATACTTCATTGATTGACTAGATACTGACCACGCACTGTAGAGTTTATACTTCATTGATTGACTAGATACTGACCACGCACTGTAGAGTTTATACTTCATTGATTGACTAGATACTGACCACGCACTGTAGAGTTTATACTTCATTGATTGACTAGATACTGACCACGCACTGTAGAGTTTATACTTCATTGATTGACTAGATACTGACCACGCACTGTAGAGTTTATACTTCATTGATTGACTAGATACTGACCACGCACTGTAGAGTTTATACTTCATTGATTGACTAGATACTGACCACGCACTGTAGAGTTTATACTTCATTGATTGACTAGATACTGACCACGCACTGTAGAGTTTATACTTCATTGATTGACTAGATACTGACCACGCACTGTAGAGTTTATACTTCATTGATTGACTAGATACTGACCACGCACTGTAGAGTTTATACTTCATTGATTGACTAGATACTGACCACGCACTGTAGAGTTTATACTTCATTGATTGACTAGATACTGACCACGCACTGTAGAGTTTATACTTCATTGATTGACTAGATACTGACCACGCACTGTAGAGTTTATACTTCATTGATTGACTAGATACTGACCACGCACTGTAGAGTTTATACTTCATTGATTGACTAGATACTGACCACGCACTGTAGAGTTTATACTTCATTGATTGACTAGATACTGACCACGCACTGTAGAGTTTATACTTCATTGATTGACTAGATACTGACCACGCACTGTAGAGTTTATACTTCATTGATTGACTAGATACTGACCACGCACTGTAGAGTTTATACTTCATTGATTGACTAGATACTGACCACGCACTGTAGAGTTTATACTTCATTGATTGACTAGATACTGACCACGCACTGTAGAGTTTATACTTCATTGATTGACTAGATACTGACCACGCACTGTAGAGTTTATACTTCATTGATTGACTAGATACTGACCACGCACTGTAGAGTTTATACTTCATTGATTGACTAGATACTGACCACGCACTGTAGAGTTTATACTTCATTGATTGACTAGATACTGACCACGCACTGTAGAGTTTATACTTCATTGATTGACTAGATACTGACCACGCACTGTAGAGTTTATACTTCATTGATTGACTAGATACTGACCACGCACTGTAGAGTTTATACTTCATTGATTGACTAGATACTGACCACGCACTGTAGAGTTTATACTTCATTGATTGACTAGATACTGACCACGCACTGTAGAGTTTATACTTCATTGATTGACTAGATACTGACCACGCACTGTAGAGTTTATACTTCATTGATTGACTAGATACTGACCACGCACTGTAGAGTTTATACTTCATTGATTGACTAGATACTGACCACGCACTGTAGAGTTTATACTTCATTGATTGACTAGATACTGACCACGCACTGTAGAGTTTATACTTCATTGATTGACTAGATACTGACCACGCACTGTAGAGTTTATACTTCATTGATTGACTAGATACTGACCACGCACTGTAGAGTTTATACTTCATTGATTGACTAGATACTGACCACGCACTGTAGAGTTTATACTTCATTGATTGACTAGATACTGACCACGCACTGTAGAGTTTATACTTCATTGATTGACTAGATACTGACCACGCACTGTAGAGTTTATACTTCATTGATTGACTAGATACTGACCACGCACTGTAGAGTTTATACTTCATTGATTGACTAGATACTGACCACGCACTGTAGAGTTTATACTTCATTGATTGACTAGATACTGACCACGCACTGTAGAGTTTATACTTCATTGATTGACTAGATACTGACCACGCACTGTAGAGTTTATACTTCATTGATTTACTAGATACTGACCACGCACTGTAGAGTTTATACTTCATTGATTGACTAGATACTGACCACGCACTGTAGAGTTTATACTTCATTGATTGGCTAGATACTGACCAGCACTGTAGAGTTTATACTTCATTGATTGACTAGATACTGACCACGCTAATCAGATCAATACATATTCTAAACCGAGTACGCATTGCTTCTCCTCTAAATCGTAGATATAATAGAGATGTTCTTTTTAACCAAGTGTTTTGTATTTTATTTATTTTTCTAAATTCAAACAAATATAACTCCGTACCGATGTTTGATTTACATGAAATGATCTATGAAAGCCTCTGAAAGTATTTTACAATAGTGGCATTAGTAATTTGTTGTTTATTTTTACCAAATTTTGCTGTTTAGCTCAAGTAATTCCCAATGTTTTTTACTTACATAACGACACGAAAGCGATTCAATCTTTCACAATAGCATTGCTTCTGTCCTGGCTATCTTACTGATAAACTCTTGACAGGTAAAATATTATATCAACATCGATTTTCAGTTTGAAAGGTTAAGTGTTATTTTATTGAGTTTCAGATTTAAAGGATGATTTATTTTTTATTGAGTTTCAGTTTGAAAAGTTAAATGTTATTTTATTGATTTTCATTTTGAAATGTTAATTTTTTGTATTGAGATTTTTAGTTTGAAAGGTTAAATTTTATTTTATTGAGTTTCAGTGAAAAGGTTTTTTTTTTTTTTTTTTTTTATTAATGTTCAGGTTGAAAAGTTAAATGTTTTTTTGATTGATTTTCAGGTTGAAAAGTTAAATGTTATTTTATTGAATTTCAGATTGATAGGTTATATTTCATAATAGTATTACCTTTCAGTTATGGGACATATCATGGCTGTTAGCATCAAGCTGGTAGGAACGGTATTTATCGCTCCCGATGATCCCATCAGGGAAGAGGTTACAAAACTGGAACAACTCATGTCAAATAAAACTGTTACAGACATCGAGAAGAAACACCTTGAGGCCATCAAAAAACTGCTAGATACGTAAGTGTACAAGTTATGTATGCTTCGATATAAAACAATTAGCATACTATTCATTAGCGCCAATGTCAATAACTTAAAGGTGTTTGTAACACGCCTTTTTATCGGTTTGTGTTTACAGTGTATAATGTGATAAACCGACAAAAAAGGTCAGACACAAATTTCTACTTTTTTCCGACCATCTGTCACTCTTGAATAATCGTATGTAACCACGTTTTGTGACATTGGCGATTCGAGCATTATACCCAATTTAGGAACAGATGACAGGGAAGTAAATGAGCCTGTTGAAAGATCCGGCTCTAGAATTGCACCATTCATAAAAACCTATATTTTTTTTTATATTTTTTAATAATTTTTTTAGGTTCAAATATTTTATTCCCCGAGCCATTCTTTTCATAAATATGTAAAAACATATACTGCTTCCACGCAGACATATATATACATATATAAATATTTTGATAGGGGATGCCAGGGTTGGGGAGCCCTGGAGTCAGCCCCTGAACAATATGGTTTCCTCACGCAGGCGGGTTCTCATTCAACATCCATCAGTCAAACAATAAATAAATAAATAGGAAGGGCAATGGGAAAATAATAAATTTGCAAATAGAGTACAGGACAAGAACACAAAACATACTTCTTTCACACCCTAACAATTTCCATATACAACATAATATTACAAACAAGGATAAACATAGCACGTCTAGACTAGTATACACAAAAATCACAATACACATACAAATACATCCACATATATACTCATACACACATACATGAGTCAGACAGACAGAGACAGACACACAGACAGACACACATACAGACAGACAGACAGACACACAGACAGACAGGCAGACACACAGACAGACAGACACACAGACAGACAACTACCCCGACAGGCAGACAGACAGGCAGACAGACAGACAGAGACAGAAACACAGACAGACACACAGACAACTACCCCGACAGGCATACAGACAGGCATACAGACAGACACACACACACACACACACATACACACAGACACACACACACACACACACACACACACACACACACACACACACACAGACACACACACAGACAACTACCCGACAGGCAGACAGACAGGCAGACAGACAGACACATAGACAGACAGAGACAGACACACAGACAGACAGACACACACACACAGACAGACACACAGACAACTACCCGACAGACGGGCAGACAGACACACAGACATACAGACAGACAGACAGACAGACAGACAGACAGACAGTACATACATACATGTTTACATTGAGACAGACTTACATACATGTATACATTGAGACAGACTTACATACATTGAATCGGATGCATCATTATGCAGTTAACAAACAATAATAAATACACTGTGCAAACAGTGTCAGATGTACATATATATATATAACATGTGTATGAATATTTCTATGACACACGCATGAAAACCTATATTTTGTTGTAGATGAAAATGACACACATTTTGTACAATAATTCTATCAACGTAAAGACAGAACGTGGTTTATGTTAAGTGTGCCCTTCAGTTATCTAGTCCAATCCTTAATTATGTTGTAGAATGGGATTCATAAGATCAATGAGGTCAGCAATATTAAACAAATATATATGATTCTACAGTAAAACCTGTCTCCTCCGACACCTTTAGGATTCAATACAATGGTCGCTTTAGACATTGGGTCGGAATTTGCAACTTTTATGTGGTAGTGAAGTTTTTGGTTTTGTTTCCGGTAGAACCGTTTTGGCGACAGGTTTTGATGCGTTTCGAATATTCTACTCCTGGTTCTATATCAACACGACAAAACCGATGTTATTTGATACATGGGATTTCTCCTAACGACCATTCCTTCTCCTTCTTTTCTGCCAGAAGTATACAGCTATATGTTGGATGAGACAGGTTAGATTGTAAAGCATATTGTCTTATGTATATGGTTTGATCGCTCAACCGTTTTTCCTTGTCTTTAAAAGTAATTTACGTACAATACATTTAAACTTTATCATCAGATATGCCTTACAGAAATCCCTGACTACTCGGCGTATTCTGTTGTTTTTTTTTTGGAAAATTTGTTAAATTAAAGGACTATTCGAACTACCGAAGTAACACAACATGCTCAATGTGGCGAAACATTTTCGGATCCTTGACGTAGGCAACGAGCATCACGCATTATTGATTATATAACGAAAGAATATTTTTCCGATGAACAAACGTTACCCTTTTCTACTGCCGTAACAATTAAAGTGTCATACTGTACAATGGGAATGATTCGCCAACTCTAAATATTTACAGACAGCGAATGTCATCACACAACAAACACTAAATATTTACAGACAGCGAATGTCATCACACAACATACACTAAATATTTACAGACAGCGAATGTCACCACACAACATACACTAAGTATTTACAGACAGCGAATGTCACTAAATATTTACAGACAGCGACTGTCACCACACAACATACACTAAGTATTTACAGACAGCGAATGTCACCAAACAACATACAATAAATATTTACAGACAGCGAATGTCATCCCACAACATCCACTAAATATCTACAGACAGCGAATGTCCCCACACAACATACACTAAATATTTACATACAGCGAATGTCACCACACAACATACAATAAATATTTACAGACAGCGAATGTCACTAAATATTTAGAGACAGCGAATGTCACCACACAACATACACTAAATATTTACAGACGGCAAATGTCACCACACAACATACACTAAATATTTACAGACAGCGAGTGTCACCACACAACATACACTAAATATTTACAGACACCGAATGTCACCACACAACATCCACTAAATATTTACAGACAGCGAATGTCACTAAGTATTTACAGACAGCGAATGTCACCACACAACATCAACTAAATATTTACAGACAGCGAATGTCACCACACAACATACAATATAAAGTAATATTGTAAGAAAGTGAAGAGTGGAACTAGCACCTGACAATATGGAGTCGGTCGTTGAAAGATTGACTAGCGATAGTTTCTTGGTGTAGAGAATGACAACAAAGGTTTATTAAGAGTCATATTAACGTTACTTTGTAGAGAATAAACGTTTGAGTATGTTTGGTGTACTGACTATTTAAGAGGTTTATTGCGCATTTATTTGAACTGTTCAAAACGTTTCAATCATCTCAATTATTGTGTGTTTGAGATTCATTTTAAGATCTTTGGGGTGTGAATGTGTGTATTAAAATGAAAATTTGTATGTAACATTCAAACTTGAACCATAGCTGATCCTCGTGCTTTCATATTAGCTTTGAGTTTGAATATTTTCTTTGGTGTTGAGTTTTTGCTTGATCACATACATTGTAAGTTATATTTGGTTTGATTCCAGAGACCTGATTGGAGCTTTGTTTGTATGGGATGCCATTATACATTGGAATCACTTCGATATTCTTGCCATCCGTCACGCATTCTTCGGTTGTTTTTACTGCGGATCATACGCAAAGGGTCGAGATGTGCTGAGTAGGATTGTGAATGAATGGGATCCCAGCATGCCTCTTTATGGGTAAGATTACTATCATATTACTTGATATACTTCTTGTCCCATGCGTTAATTATTGCCTTGTGTAATGGTTTCTGCAAGTAATTTTGACTGGTGTTTCATTATGTAATTTTGACTGGTGGTCCGTTATGTTATTCTGACTGGTGGTCCGTTTTGTAATATTGACTGGTGAGCCGTTATGTAATTTTGACTGGTGGAGTCCGTTATGTAATTCTGGCTGGTGGAGTCCGTTATGTAATTCTGACTGGTGGTCCGTTATGTATTTCTGACTGGTGGTCCGTTATGTAATTCTGACTGGTGGTCTGTTATGTAATTCTGACTGGTGGTCCGTTATGTAATTCTGACTGGTGGAGTCCGTTATGTAATTCTGACTGGTGGAGTCCGTTATGTCATTCTGACTGGCTTACATCATACCTTGTTAACTTTTGGTCTCCTACTGTACGTGATCTATTTGTTCGGACTCCCATCATGGATCGTTTGCTATTTGCAGGTATTTTCTAGGAGAGTATGCATTTCTATCCCAGGAAACGTTTCTCTTCGAGCGTGCAGAACGCGACGGCTTGCGGGTGAGTGTCTACACACGTCCTTCGATGTTCCGAAACAGATAACACTGGGCTGGTCTTTGGCGAGAGTGTTGATAGTAAATGTATTCATTTGTTTAAACGATAATGTGCCACAGTGCTGCTATTGGACTGTTATGTGCTACGAAGGACCGATGAGCTTATGCCATGGCGCGGCGTCCGTCGTGGTCAGAGAGGCGGGGTCCAATGGGGGAAATAGAGGTGAAACCTTTAAAATCATTCTTCTACCATAGGGATTGAGTATTTTATCCTAATTTAGTATGGAGCATCCTTGGGTCAAGGGGTCTCAATTTTGTATAATTGGTGGGTATGACCCACTTATGGGCATAGACTTTAAAATTACTTTAAACATATGCATGTGAGCGATACAGGCGCTCTGGGCCTCTTGTTTAATTTTCGTCATAGGAGATTAGCACCCATCATCTTTCAATATGTTAACACCGTGCTTTGAATTCATATTTCATTCAGTCTAAGACACAGCCTGCTGGTATTATGTGCTACATAGATCTAAGACACAGCCTGCTGGTATTAAGTGCTACAAAGGTCTAAGACACAGCCTGCTGGTATTAGTGTTACAAAGGTCTAAGACACAGCCTTCTGGTATTAGTGCTACAAAGGTCTAAGACACAGCCTTCTGGTATTATGTGCTTCAAAGGTCTAAGACACAGCCTGCTGGTATTATGTGCTACATAGATCTAAGACACAGCCTGCTGGTATTAAGTGCTACATAGATCTAAGACACAGCCTGCTGGTATTAAGTGCTACATAGATCTAAGACACAGCCTGCTGGTATTATGTGCTACATAGATCTAAGACACAGGCTGCTGGTATTAGTGCTACAAAGGTCTAAGACACAGCCTGCTGGTATTAGAGGTACAAAGGTCTAAGACACAGCCTGCTGGTATAAATTGCTACAAAGGTCTAAGACACAGCCTGCTGGTATTAAGTGCTACATAGATCTAAGACACAGCCTGATGGTATTAAGTGCTACAATGGTCTAAGACACAGCCTTCTGGTATTATGTGCTTCAAAGGTCTAAGACACAGCCTGCTGGTATTATGTGCTTCAAAGGTCTAAGACACAGCCTGCTGGTATTATGTGCTACATAGATCTAAGACACAGCCTGCTGGTATTAAGTGCTACAAAGGTCTAAGACACAGCCTTCTGGTATTATGTGCTTCAAAGGTCTAAGACACAGCCTGCTGGTATTTTGTGCTACATAGATCTAAGACACAGCCTGCTGGTATTATGTGCTACATAGATCTAAGACACAGCCTGCTGGTATTAAGTGCTACAAAGGTCTAAGACACAGCCTTCTGGTATTATGTGCTTCAAAGGTCTAAGACACAGCCTGCTGGTATTATGTGCTACATAGATCTAAGACACAGCCTGCTGGTATTAAGTGCTACAAAGGTCTAAGACACAGCCTTCTGGTATTATGTGCTTCAAAGGTCTAAGACACAGCCTGCTGGTATTTTGTGCTACATAGATCTAAGACACAGCCTGCTGGTATTAAGTGCTACATAGATCTAAGACACAGCCTGCTGGTATTAAGTGCTACAAAGGTCTAAGACACAGCCTGCTGGTATTATGTGCTACAAAGGTCTAAATCACAGCCTGCAGGTATAAAGTGCTACATAGATCTAAGATACAGCCTGCTGGTAGTAAGTGCTACAAAGGTCTAAGAACACAGACTGCTGGTATTAGTGCTACAAAGGTCTAAGACACAGCTTGCTGGTATTAGTTCTACAAAGGTCTAAGACACAGCTTGCTGGTATCAGTGCTACAGACCCTGGACCGTTTTTCTTTACAAAAATTGCGTTGCGTTTGCGTTCCGTTTCCAATGCGTTTTCGTTGCGTTTCCGTTGAGTTTCCGTTGCGTTTCCGTTGCGTTTGCGTTCCGTTTCCAATGCGTTTGAGTTGCGTTTGCGTTGACTGTTTATTGTGCGTTTTAACTTTAGCGTTGAATGTGCGTTGAACACGCGTTTTGCTGGTTATGTAAGAAAACGATCGATGTGCAGGTTATTTTAAGAATATGTGAGTGCTGAAAAGTTTTTTATATAAAAAAATAGCTACATGGATTATAAAGTTTGCAAATTAAAAACAAAATAAATATTCAAATAAAATAGATAAATACAGGAAATAATCGGTCGGCAGTTAAGTAATGACTTATATTTATATTCATATATTTAGGCTGCGTCGTGTGCTGATTGATAGATGCATGTCTATACACGTACCTTAATTAGCCAGTAAAATTTTAAGTAGAAAATAATTGAGCAATAAGTTATTTGTATATTTTAAATATTTAATTTCCATACTGATATCATTCTGTTCATATGAATATATGAATCAAATTATACTAAATCTACAAATACTTTCATCACTGATGGGCTGATGGTTTCGTAATGACACCAGTGTAGTCTGGATTGAAGATATATAATTAGATCGTCTAAACGGCGAATTTCATTTGATAAAATATTTCTAGTTTTATCTCTATGTGTGTATGGTTTTCGTTAATTTTATTGTCTTTATAGTGGATTTTGTTTACGTCCAGATCGAATTATATAAGTCCTGTGATCGACACGCAATATGTATCGAGGATGCTGTCTGTGTGGTTCGAGAGGTACAAGGCCCCTGCCACCATTGACAATAAATTGACTTGGATAACGCCGTTGAAAATCATTGAGACCTAATAATTTTACTAGTTGTGTACTCGGTATTTCTTTCAGCTGAATTAACAGGACACATTATTATTTATTTTTAATATTTAATAAAATGGTGATGAGTATTCAAATAAGTATTTAAAATATTGAAAAGACTAATAAAGAACGTGTTAATGGTTAAAAAACTGCCACAAAAAAACAACAAACCAATAATTAATGAAATTGAATAAAAAAAACAAATTAATTGATAAATTAATAAAAGGAAATAAAATAATGAAATCAAATAAATAAAACAAATTAATTAATAAATCAATAAAATGAAATAAAATATTGAAATAAATCAAATGAAAATAATAACTTAAATAAAATAACTAAATAAATGCAGGAGGGTATAGATGGTAAATTCAGTTTACATTTGAAGGTGATGTAGAAGGGTGTAGGCGGTAAAGGAAGTACATGTGTAGGTGATGTAGGAGGGTATAGGTGGTATAGGAATTAAATGTGATTTACATATGCAGGAGGGTATAGGTGGTATAAGAAGTATAGAAGACGTATGGGGGTATAGGTGGGTTAGGAAGTATAGGTGATGTAGGAGGGAATAGGTGGCGTAGGAAGTTAAGGTGACGTATGAAGGTAAATAAAGTAAAGGTGACGTATGCAGGTATATAAAGTAAAGGTAACGTAGAAAGGTATAGAAAGTAAAGGTGAAGCGTAGGATGGGGTAGGTGGTGTAAAAGGGTATAGATGATGTAGAATGGTATTGGCGATGTAAGAGGGTATAGTTGATGTAGGAGGGTATATGTGGTATAGGAAGTAAAGGTGATGTAGGAAGGTATAGGAAGTATAGGTGGTGTAGGAGGGTACAGTTGGTGTAAGAGGGTATAGATGATGTCGGAGGGTACATGTGGTATAGGAAGTAAAGGTGATGTAGGAGGATATAGTTATTTAAGGTGATGAAGGATGGTATAGGTGGTTATAGGAAGTATATGTGCTGTAGGAGGGTATAGGTGGTATAGGAAGTAAAGTTGATGTAGAAGGGTCATGGTAGTATAGTAGGTAAAGTTGATGTAGGAGGATATAGGTTGTATAGGAAGTATAGGTGATGTAGGAGGGTATAGGTGGTGTAAGAGGGTATAGATAATGTAGGATGGTATATGTGGAATAAGACGTATAGGTGATGTAGGAAGACATAGTTATTTAAGGTAATATAGGAGGGTATTTGTGGTGTAGGACGTATAGGTGATGAAGGAGGGTATAGGTGATATAGGTGAAAAAAGTAAATGTGATGTAGGAGGGCAAAGGGGGTATAGGAAGTAAAAATGATGTAGGAGGGCAAAGAGGGTAAAGAACGTATAGGTGATGTAGGAGGGTATAGGTGGTGTAGGACGTATAGGTGATGTAGGAGGGTAGAGGTGGTGTAGGACGTAAAGGTGATGTAGGAGGGCAAAGATGGTATATAAAGTATAGGTGATGTAGGAGGGTATAGGTGGTATAGGACGTATAGGTGATGTAGGAGGGAATAGGTGAAATAGGAAGTAAATGTGATGTAGGGGGGTAATGGGGGTATAGGAAGTAAAGATGATGTAGGAGGGCAAAAAGGTTATAGAACGTATAGGTGATGTAGGAGGGTAAAGGTGGTGTAGGACGTATAGGTGATGTAGGAGGGTATAGGTGGAATAGGAAGTAAATGTGATGTAGGAGGGCAAAGGGGGTATAGGAAGTAAAGATGATGTAAGAGGGCACAGAGGGTATAGAACGTATTGGTGATGTAGGAGCGTATAGGTGGTGTAGGAAGTAAAGTTGATGTAGAAGGGTTATGGTGGTATAGTAGGTAAAGTTGATGTAGGAGGGTATAAGTTGTATAGGAAGTACTGGTGATGTATGAGGGTATAGGTGGTGTAAGAGGGTATAGATGATGTAGTATGGTATATGTGGAATAGAAGGTATAGGTGATGTATGAGGACATAGTTATTTTAGGAGATATAGGAGGGTATAGGTGGTGTAGGATGTATAGGTGATGTAGGAGGGTATAGGTGGTATAGGAAGTATAGATGATGTAGAAGGGTATAGGTGGTTTTAGGACGTATAGGTGATGTAGGAGGGTTTAGGTGGTTATAGGACGTAAAGGTGATGTAGGAGGGTATAGGTGGTATAAGACGTATAGGTGATGTACATGTAGGAGGGTACAGGTGTTTATAGGACGTATAGGCGATGTAGGAGGGTATAGGTGATGTAGGACGTAACGGTGATGTAGGAGGGTATAGGTGGTGTAGGACGTATTGGTGATGTAGGAGGGTATAGGTGATGTAGGAGGGTATAGGT